CCCTCCCCGCCCCCCCCCCGCTTCCTCCCTGGCAGAGAGACTGTTTCCTGGCCAGCGCTATTTCTGCCCATCCGTTTCCAGAAGGCGGGGGTTCCAGTCACCCCCTCCTCAGCTCCCCGAAGTGCCCTCCCAGTCCCCCGGGAGCCGGGGCTGAAATAACATCTGGCCAGGATGTGGAGGGCATCAGAGGACAGAGGGGTCCTGGGGCGCAAGGCGGGGTGGGCCGGGTTGGGCGAGCAGGGGGGAACTGAGGAGGACTCTGCGGTTGGGTCCCCGTGGGGACGACTTAGAAGACGGTGGAGGACGGGAAGAAGGTGGAGATGGCAGGAGTTTGAAGGTGACTCCTGGGAGTCTGGATGGGAGATTGCACGGGGTTAGGCGGAGGTGAGCGGACTGCAGAGGGAGAGAGGCCCAGTTGGGGGCGCAGTGGAGCTGCAGGATGGGGAGGGGCCGTGGGCAGGGACAGCAGGGGGTCACGGGGGCGAAAGGGGTGAGACCGAAAAGGAGGAGAGCGCTGGAGATGAGAGAGAGCCCGGCTGAGGGGCAGACAGAAGAGCTAGAGATGGGGCTGCGGGTGTCCTGCGATAGAGACTGACCACAGGCCTGGTGACTACGGCACGGGGACCAAAGGGGCACTCGGGGGAGCCTGAGGTGAGGGGTCGGAATGGCGTTAAGAATGGAGCTGGGAGCCGGGCGTGGTGGCGCAGCCTGTGATCCCAGCACGCGGGAGGCTGAGGCGGGAGGATCGTTGTGAGTTCGAGACCAGCCTGGGCTACACAGTGAACTCCAGGTCAGTCTCAACTATGCAGTGAGACCCTGTCTCAAAAAAACAAACACACAAAGAATGGAGATGGGGTGGTGGTGTGGAATGAACTGTGTCCCCTCCCGCCGGAAAGATATGTGCAGTCTGGACCCTCGTGTTCAGAGCATGACCTCTGCGGGGAAGAGGGTCTTTACAGAGGTCATGGGCTTGTAGGCCTCATCCAGTAAGCCTGGTGTCCTTAAGGGGAAATTGAGGTACAGAGAGAGGCACACACCGAAGATGACAGGAAGAGACAACAGGGTAATGCCACGGGGACATGAAAGAGCAGAGTGATTCATCGGTGAGCCAAGGAGCATCCATGCTGTTACAAGCCAAGCATGGTGGTGCACTCTGGTCATCCCAGCACTCAGGAGGCTGAGGCAAGAGAGTGCTGTGACTTCAAGGCCAGCCTGAACTACATAGTGAGACCCTGTCTCAAAAAAACAAAAAAGAAAAAAGAGAGAAAGAAAGAAAGACTGGCAAGCTGCCAGAAGCACAGGGCGGTGATGGTGGTCGGGGAGGACTGCGGGTTGCTGAGGCCGTGAGACAACACCCTCTGCCGTCCTAAGCCATCCGCTTGTCGACCTTTGTCACGGCTGCCCAGAGACCCACCCGGGTAGTACCGGTCCGGGGTCTACAGCCTAGAAGTGAGGTTCAAGGTGGAGGCCAGGGATGGGGCTAGGACTGGGATGGACTTAGGGGTGGGGTACAAGGTTGGCAGTGGGTGTTGGAAATGGGATCGGCTTGAGTTTGCCTTGGGGAGGAAGAACAGGGCAGGTAGGGATGTGGAGAGTGTGGGACCTGAGCAGGGTTTGCAAAGGCTGGGCGAGGTTGGAGTTTCACTGGATGTTGGAGTCACAGGCGAGGTCAATGAAGACAGGGTCATGGGTGGAGGCTGGACAGGAAGTGGGGACACTGGTGGTGCCTGGTCAGGAGGGGATTAGCTCCGATCCCTCCGTTCCGGGACAGGACCCTCACTCACCTGACAGTGGCTCCTTCATCTTCGGGGGCTCTCGGACCTTGGGTGGGGGCTCAGGAGCAGCCTCTCCTGCAGGTACCACCCTCTCTGCCAGGGATGCACGCCGGGGCTTGGGCCCTCGCCCCAGCCGCAGAAAAGCCAGCCTCCGTGCCGCGTCCCCAGCCTCCTCCTCCCCGTGGGTTCGGGTGCCCTGAAGCCGGGCCAGCAGGCCGAAGTCTGCAGAGCTCCTTCGAATCCCTGGGCTCAGCACTCGGCCCAGGAAAGAACGGGGCTGCCCATCCCCAGGGCTGCCTGCCCGGCGGCCTGGGATCCAGCCCAGCCGGAAGGGGCCCAGGCCCACCAGCTTCTCCAGGGTGGCACGACGGTGACACGAGGTTCCGTTGGGCAGGGGCCCCGGCTCCCCGGGCTCTTCCTCCAGCCCTGGAACTTCCTCAAAGGGATTCCGAGATGTCCTCAGGGGCAGGGTCCCCGCCCGGGGCACCTTAGGGTCTGTCACCCCTAGACTCTTCAGGATGGGCATTTTGACAGGTGGGCACCTGGGGAAAAGGAAAGACCATCGATGGCATTGGTGACAACGGCTCTGTGCCCAGGACACTGGTCTGAGCACTTGGTAACCCCGAAAATCTGCAGAGTCCTACATGGGGGGCTATCTGTCACCCCCCCTCTTTTGTGGTACTGGGAGTTGAATCCATGGCTTTTGCCTTGAGCTGCATCCCCAGCCCTTTTTTATTTTTTATTTTGAGACAAGCTCTCCCTAAATTGTTCAGTTCCTCAAACTGGGCTTGAACTTGCGGTTTTCCTGCCTCAGCCTCCCAGAGTGCTTGGGATTACAGGTGTGCTCTCTCACACTCAGCTCATTGTCCCCACTTTGCACATGAAGATTTCTGCAACTACAAGAAGCTGGTGGATCAGTGCCATTGTGAATATGCGAAATGCACTTTTAGATTGTTTGAAATGGTGGTTTTTGTTATGTGTATTTTACCAAAATGAAAACAAACCAAAAAACTTAGTAGATCTATGGCCTGCCCTGTCTGTGCAGGAGACTAGATCAGACCTGGTCCCTGCCCTTGAGGGCTCACAGCTTCCTGAGTCCCGCCCCTCCCACCTCTAAATTTATCTCTTTCCCATCTTTGGTCCTTCTTCCTCCCTTCTCCTGGCTCCTACCCCACACGGAGCCCCCGTATATTTCCCTTCATCACACTCCTTCCTGGTTTCCAGCCTCCAGCCTTCACACCTTCACCCATGTTTGAAGACCTTGATATAGCTCCTCCATTTCTCCTGAGCCTTCCATGGCTCCCTAGTGCCCTTGACACAAAACTCAGACCTCTCAGCCTGTGAGGTCTGGGAACTGTGAAGTTCATCAGTTTTATCCTGCCACCTCCTTCTTCTCCCGTTGCCTTCAGGCTCCTCTGTGTTTCTGCACCCCACCCGCCACAAGCTAGAGATTGAATCCAGGGCCTAAGCCCTGAGCCACATCCCCAGCCCTTTTTGTTTTTTATCTTGAGACAGGGTCTCACTAAGTTGCTAAATTGCCCAGGCTGGGCTTAAACTTGTGATCCTCCTGCCTCAGCCTCCCAGAGTGCTGGGTTCACTGGTGTGTGCACCACCACACCCAGCTTGCCTGTCCTAAGCAGCAGCCTGTTTTTGAGACCCTGGGACTCAGTCCCACTGTGCCTCCTCCAGAAAGCCCTCCTTGATCACTAGGCTGGGCTAGGGCCCCCTGGGGGGCTCCCTGATTCAGCCCTGCTCAAGCTGGGTCCACCTGTCCTGGGATGGGTCTGTGTCCCACGCTGGCCTGGGGGCCTGGCAGGGCAGGGCTCGATCTCTCTGGGTCACTACTGTGTCCCCGGCTCCAAGCAGGCCCTCTGGGATGGGTGCTCAACAGGAAACAAAGGAAGGAAGGAGGTGGACAGTTCGTTCCTTGGATGGGGAGGTAGACATTAAGTCCTGGGAGAGGTCACTGGGGAGCAGGCCGCACAGGCCTGAAGCCCCGAGGCAGGAGCTCGGGCTATCTCCTCAGGGCACTGGGGAGCCACAGACGACTGCACGTGGTTGTTTGTTTGTTTGTTTGTCTCAGTGCTGGGGATCAAACCAAGAGCTCTGTGTCTGCTTGGTAACGCTCTATTACTGAGCTACACCCTAGTTCATGATTTTGAAAAGCGCCCCTCTAAACTGGGTGTGGTGGGATATCCCTGTAATCCCAGCACTTGGGCTGAGGCAGGAGGGCTGGGAGTTCAAGCCCAGCTTGGGCAATTTAGTGAGACCCTATCTCAAAATAGAAATTAAAAGGACTGGTGATGTAGCTCAATGCAAAGGCCCTGGGTTCAATCCCCAGTATCACCAAAAACAAACAAACAGTTGTGGTGATCCCAGCACTCAGAGGCAGGAGGATCACCACGAATTGGAGGCCAGCCGGGGCAACACAGTGAGGCTGTGTCAAAACTAACAAACAAGAAAAACATAGAGGACAATATACACTTGTAATCCTCGCTGTAGCTAGTGCAAAAATTTGCACTATGTGCATTCCTTTCATTCTGTGTTTTGTTTAGTTCCACTCCAAATGTACTGCGTTGCCCTGATGCCTCCCCAGGTCCCGCTGCATGCAGCCTTCTCCCAAGGGAGCTGGCTCATGTTCGGCGCTGTCTGCCCATCTGGGCAGATCCACACCCTCCACCTCCATCACCCATGCCCAGAGCGGATGGGCACCCAACTGGCTCCAGACTCTCCGTAATGGTAGCACACTGTCTGCATCCTGCAACGTGGTGTTTGCCTTTTCTTTTGCGCATGTTAGGAACGTGTGAGTTTTAGCTATGTCCATCTCTATGGCTCCGGTTCATTTGTTTTAAGGGCTGCATAATATTCCCCCGTGTGACTATGATACATTTGGGTTAATAAAGTGCCTGAGGCTCACTCGGTCTACTACTGCTGAAACTGTGGCTGGCTTGTTTGGAACTGGGAGAGGCTTCTGGGCAGGCGAGGGGCAGGGTGGTGTGCGAGGCCGAAGGGAGACCTTGGGGTGCTGGTGCTGAGGGCACTGGCTGGGCTGGGTAACAAGCACTGCTTTCTGGGATGATGCACTCCCTTCTCTGCCCATTTCAAGCTGTAGACATCAGCTGTTGCTTCTCAGCCCTTCTGTTTCTAGGAACACCGCCTGACCTCCACCAGTCTCCATGGTCCCCTGTCCTCCGGGAGGCAGTCACCATGGCAACCCTTGCCTGAGCCCCCGTGGCCAGTCGATACCCCCCCAACACTAGGTTCTCAAACTGACTTCGGCTTCCACAGGCCTCATCCCGAAATGGGCTCCGACATCCCCCCAAAGTGTGACCACCACCCCATAATTTCAGGCTCCAATTTCCCTCCAACTGCCCAAAGTCCAAGCTGCCCAAATTAGAAATGCCACTTCCCCAAGCAGCCCGACAGCCCCCACCTATGCCCAGTCCCCCCAAACTATGCCCAGCGCTCCGCAAAGCCAGAGGCAACATTTGCCCCAAACCGGCCCCGACCTCTTCCCCCTTCCTGGCTCCCACAGGCCCTCTGCGAGCTGCCCCCACATCCTGCCCTCCAGCGCCCTCTCTGCCTCCCAGGCCGGCCCCTGACTCACTTCCAGGCACCCCTCAAGCCCCCAGCGCTGGCGCCCCTCCAGGATGTCTCAGCCACCAGAGCTTCCCTCCTGGGGCCCCTCCTCCTCTTCCTCGCTGCCAGCCTCTCTGCGGCTCGGTGGCCTCTGCACAATCTGGCCCCCAGCAGTCCCCAGCATCTGGACTCCACTGCACTTGGAAACTGCCTGTCCCAGACCCAACTCCAGCCAGTCCGGCCCCAGTCTGGTCCTTTCGCCCGGTACAACTCTGTCACCAGCCGCCCGGTCAAGCTCCCCACCACCTCCAGTCCCAACCTTGGCCAGCGGGGTCTCTGCCACCCCCGCTTCATGTCTGTGAGCCCAGCTCTGTGTCTCAGCCCCGTCTCCCAGGATGGAGTGAACACTGGGTCCCCACGGGCCTCACCCTTCCCACCTGGACTCTGGCACAGCAGCCCCACTGTCTCCCTCTGCTCTCTGCCATCCACGGTTCCAACCTCCCAGAGGTCCCCCCGTCTCCCCGCTCCCCAGGTCTCCCCTGCACAGCCTCCTGCTCCCACCTGCTGCTCCCACCTCCTGTCTTCTCGCTGCCGCTGCCCCACGGCCAGGCTCTGGCCCCAGCTTCTCCTTTGTCCTCCCTACCCTGTCCCTTCTGGGTTTGGGGCACAGGTCCTTCCTGGGCCTGTTCTCTGAGGGGGTCCGGGTGTGAATCCTCCCACCTCCCCCAGCACACTCACCGTGGTCCTCTGCGCCCGTCTCTCTGTCCCCACTGATGTCCTGTCCCCAGCCTCCTTGGGCCAGGACTGCAGCGAGCTTGGGTCTGAGGAGGGGGGGCTTGGAGGAGGACAATTTCCTGTCAGGAAACCCCTCCCTCTCTGGGGCCAGGGCCGGGAAGGCCTCATTATCTGTCTGCCCTTTTAGGCAGCCTGCGGTTGGGCTGGGAAGGACAAGGCCCACAGCCCTGTCCCCACCCTGCCCCAGGCCGGAATCCGCCACCCGCCCCGCCTGCTCTTCACGCCTCGAGAGGTGACAACGCCATCCTGGGCACCCCAGGCAAGCGCCCCTGCTGGACGGGAGCCCAGAGCAACCAGTGGCACTGGGCTGAGACCTCCAGAGGGACTGTGGGGTCCCCGGAGCAGCACACTGCTCTGCAGGGCCCCAGTGTGGGGACAAGGCTAGGATGGCCCACTGGCTCCAGAAGCTGGGGACACAGGGGAGCGGCACAGGGCATGGCTTTGAAACCGTGGCTCTGCCTAGGAGCCCTGCTCGCCTGCCTTTGTGGTCGTTCCCGCCTTAAGGCCATCATCTCTGGGGCCTACTGCAGTGAGCTCTCTGCCAGGGGCACAGATCTGCCCGTCAGCTCCTTTCCAGTGCCTCCCACGGTCTGAAACGACCAGGGTCTGTGTTTGTGCCTCAGTCAGGGCAGCAGAATGGGCTCCGCTGGCCTTGCTCACCACCTTGGCCCCAGACGCAGCCCAGCCCATAGTAGGTGCTCAGCAAAGCCCCGCAGACAGCTGGTCATGGTAAGCACACCTGTAAGGCCAACACTCTGGGAGGCTGAGGCAGGAGTGTTCTAGACAGCTAAGAAATATTCCAGGCCCTCAAGGGAGTCAGTGCAGAGGATGAGAGCATACTATGACCGGCTGGAGGCACATCTGTCAAAGGCCAGGCCTCAGGAAAAAGACAAAGTGACCGGGCCTCCAAGTCTCCCCAAGGGATAAGCAATAACTTGGAGCTCATACTCTAATTGGTATCACCTGGTTCAAATCCAGATGGACATCAGTCATCCAGGTGGGTGACCAGGACCTCCTGATCCATCCCTGCCTAAAAAGGTCTTTGTTCTTTCCGTGGACACTCGCTGCTTGACCTGCTTCCCCATTGGATAAATATTACCTAAGTAGCTCTACTTGTAATCTTATTGGTTGATCACAGTTTGGACCACATTGTACCCACCTCCTAATTTTGCGCTATAAACTTCCTTTGTAAAGTGGGGTCCACAGCAACCTACCTTGGGTTCCCTCCTGTCTCTTAGGAGCTCAGTTATTTTTTTTGGATACATTTTTCCTACTCATAACCTTTGTTATTCCTTAGCATTCATTCTTTGATTTGGGGGCACGTGAACCTGGTGTATCTGACATCTAGCAGGTTGGGGTTACATTTGTTTTCTGTATATCAGGAGGATTGCAAATTTGAGCTCAGCCTCCACTGTTTAGCACCTCTGGGAAATTCTGTCTGAAGAAAAAAAAGTAAACCCTGTAAATGGGGACATTGGGCTGAGGTCTGGAGGGGGCTTTGGGAACGGTCTTTTTTTTTTTTTTTTTTTTGATACCGGGGATCAAACTCGGGTCCTGGTGCTCACGCGGCAGGCACGGGAACCACTGAGCTAAAACCCAGGCCCTGGCAATGCCCTTCCTGCCAGTTAAATGGGTGAGGAAGAAGGAGGCAGAGTGTGGTTGGGACTAAGGTGTGGGGATGGGGTGGGTGGTAGTGGATATGGGGTTAGGGTCTCTTTGATAAAACCTCGTAAGGGGGACATTGGGCGGAGGTCGGGAGGGGGCTTTGGGAACGGTTTTTTTTTTTTTTTTTTTTTTGATACCGGGGATCAAACTCGGGTCCTGGTGCTCACGCGGCAGGCACGGGAACCACTGAGCTAAAACCCAGGCCCTGGCAATGCCCTTCCTGCCAGTTAAATGGGTGAGGAAGAAGGAGGCAGAGTGTGGTTGGGACTAAGGTGTGGGGATGGGGTGGGTGGTAGTGGATATGGGGTTAGGGTCTCTTTGAAGGCTGGGTTTCAGGGTCAGAGGGCTGTTCAGGGGCCCATTCACGGGCCTGCGTGTGTTCAGCAACCGTCCTCGGCCGGGGTAGAGGGGGCTTTGGGGTTGCAATCAACAATCTGTCTCTGGGAAGTGAAGATGGCAAGATACGAAGACCCCTGGGCCTGAATCCTCAGGACAATAGGTGGAGGGCAGGGCGAGGGGCCAGGGCAGCCTCCCGGGTGGCGCTGGGTCCCCAGTGCGCTGTGACACTGTCCAAACCTCTCTTCCCTTCCCCTTCTGTGGGGTAGATACTATGGATTGAACCCCTAGAGTACAGAGCTACATCCCCAGTCCTTTTTATTTATTCTGTTTTATTTTGCTTTTTTTTGAGATGAGGTCTCCCTATTTAATTCTGGCCTTGAACTCACATTTAGCCCAGGCTGGCCTTGAACTCATGGTGACCTTCCTGCCTCAGCCTCTGGAATGCTGGGATTACAGTCCATGCTCATCATTATTTATTATTATTATCTTTAGCACTAGGGTTTGAACCCAAGGCCTTCACACTGAGTGACATCCCAGCCCCTTTTTTCTTTTCTTTCCTTTTCTTTTTTTGAGACAGGGTCTTACTGTGTAGTTCAGGCTAGCTTTAAACTCATGGCAACCTTCCTGCCTCAGCCTCCCAAGTAGCGAGGATGACAAAGGTGTGTGCCATCATTCCCAGCTCTCCTTTCTTTCCTTTTTAATTTTTTTAAAAAATGAGATATAATTCTTAAACCATAAAATTTGCCTTTTAAAACATGTGCTCCTGGGTCTTAGTATATGGACAAGGTTGCAGCAAGCATCACTTTCATTCAATTCCAGAACACTTGCATCACCCCAAAAAGAAACCCTGGACCCAGTAGAATCACACCCCACACCTCTTTCAGCCTCTGACACCCACTAAGCCACTCTTTGTCTCTGTGAATTTGCCTATTCTAGATGTCATATAAATGTTTTGTTTTGTTTTGTTGAGACAGAGTCTGGCTATGTAGTTCAGGCTGGCCTCGAACTCGTGAAGATCCCCCTGCCTCAGCCTCCCCCAGGCTGCAACGACAGGTACTTGCAATCATGCCCTGCTACATCGTATAAATAGAATCATATACCTTTGAGTAGACGTCTCATTAAATTTAAGGTTTCCGAGCGTCTATCTGCTTTGTGCCCTTCACCCTCATAGTCCAATCCTCAGCCTCCCTCACTTTGGAAATGGAGTGGAGACCGCATGGAACTAAGGGGGAGCAGGGGGAGGAGCTCTCGTGTGTCCCATGTATGTAAGGAGGCGATCTGCTGTCCCCATGTGGTGCATGGGAGAATTGCAGCCATCAACAAGGGTTGGGGAGGACTGGGGGGCGACTCAGACCCCCATCTTACTTCCCTAAGTTCCAGCCCTCACCCCGCAGAGACTTGGAGGTCACAAAGCTTCTGGAACCACGTCCTGAACCCCTCCTCTCTGCCTCCAGCCTTAAAACTTCTCAGGCCTCATTTGCTAAATAATAGTATTAATGAAATTCTAACCCTCCCTCACCCTGATAAGCAATTTACTTACATTCTTCTAGATTTTTTGCATACTAAGGTTGCTGCTGTTATTCTTCGAAACAGGAAACCATCGTGGTTAAGAGCCCAAGTTCTGGAGTTTGGTGGGAGAAGTGGAGTTCAAATCCCCACTTGGTCACTTTCCACGTGGAACTTTTCTTCCTCCGGCCTGTAGGATTTCCTCTTCCATGGATGCATGGGTAAGGGTGGTCCCTACCTCTCGGAAAAGACCCGGTGTTGAGAGCCCAGCATGGGAGCCGCCTCCGTGAATCCACGCAACTAATGTCCTCAACCCGCCATAGGCTGGTAAATATCGATTTGTTACCTTTGGCAATTTCCATGAGGTAAATATCCTCACCAGGGGCAATTTCTTGTTAGCACGGTGAGTCCCTGAGAGCCCTTGGGGGCAGAGATACACAGTAGCCCACTCTTCTATAGCAATTTCCTAAGTATACAAAAGGTGCAAACTACGTGAAGATCACAGAAACTAGGAAAATGAAGCGAAATGATCAGGATGCGATGCGCGTATAGTACCTTTGCTTTTAATATAGTTTATTTAATTGCATGTTTGCATAATTTAATTAATCTTAATAATGGCCGTGGTTAACAACCAGTTCCAAAATTCTTTCATTTTTAACAATCAGCTTTCCGGAGGTGGCCCGGTACCCTGCTGTGGTTTTCGGAAAGGGCCACGGAGGCTCGGGAGGATAAGCAGACTTTGGAACAGACGGGGCAGGGCGTGGACCGGGAAAGGCCACTCAGCCTCCGCGCACCCGGGGCTGGAAGACACGGTGGTCCCCGCGGCGCTGCGTGTGTGGCCCGGGCCCGGCCCCCGCCTCTGATCTCCCTCTCTGGGTCTCTTTGTCTCGGCCTCTCCGCCTGTCTGGGTTACGGGTCTCCGTCCCAGTCTTTGTCCCTCTCCGCGTCTCCCCTCGCTCACTTTCTCCCCGCGGCCCCCTCCTTCTGTCCTTCTCTTTTGTGTTTCTGCTCTTTGCCTCTCTCTCTGGCCATCTCTTTGTGTCTCTGCCTTTGTGTATCTCTCCCCATCTCTCCGCGCGCCCCTGGGCTGGCGCTTGGCCTCGTTGCCTCTGC